AAAATGTTGTGGGGGTGTCATATTCAGACCTGTAATTACTGTTAATTCATCGGGTCAGGTGGGGTTCAGAAATAATAGGTACGGGCTGAGGCCTAGAGCTGTCATTTCTAACCTGAACCCGCAGCTTGGCCCTGCCCGCCTAGGATTCGGACTAGGCCGGGCCATAATAATGTGCAGGCCGGGTTGGTGTCGAGCTTTTAATTGCATCAGCGGATGCGCACGGCCAACAATCCAATTATATGCCACATGGCTTGCCATACCATCACCAGCCGCACGCGGCCATTTGACCGTGTGCTAACCAGCCAATTGAATGAGGTAAACAGTTCATTTAAGCTTCAGATGGACTACTGCCAGCAATTCATGAGCCCGAATGGATGTTCATTCAGCCGAGGCACTCAGCGGACGCGCACAGCCGACGACCCAAACAGGTGAAATCACAAATTATCCGACATGTCAGAGCAGAGCAGGGTCTAATGTAGGCAGAAGCAGGGGAAGCATTTAATGTGCTTTGACGGCGCCTCAGCTCCGATTTTCTGCCCCCTTTACTCAGCTGCGCACGTCTGCCGACCGTTAATAATAGTCAGTGGTATAAGCAGTCAAAGCTTAATTAAAAAAAGTCTGGGGGATTTTCGGGTTCAGACCTGTAATTACTGTTAATGTCAGATCGGGTGGAGTTCGGAGATGATGGCTGTGGGCTGGGGCCAGGTCAGATTGGATTTTTTGGACCCAAGTGCTACTCTACTGGGGTTGGGTCGGGTAAGATTTTTTGGGCCCGAATGCAACTCTACTCAGGGTTTAAAATTTACTACCATAACTCCACCCACTCTGTCATCATGTGACCAGAAGTCTTCTGGGGACTGATGTGGACAGCACAAGGGAAAGTGACAAAAGCGACATGGAGGCAGTGTGTGACCACGTTTTTCTGAGCCTTGAAGAGGACTTTAGCTCTCAGGAGGACTAAGAACAGCAAAAAGTGACTTTTGGTCAACTACCAGAAATTAAAAAAAAATTTTTTAGCCATGTTAAAGGCTATTCCCCCTCCCCTGGATCACGACATGGGCTCTGCTGAGCAGAAGTCGTATAAATAGCAGTCAAGTCTGGTACACGTTTTAATAAAAGTTTTAAATTTCTTTCTGTATGACATCTTTCTGTGTATGGTAAATATGTGTTTAAATACTGGTATCTCATTTAAGCTCACATTCAAACACGGAGCGGAGACAAAGAAAGTGGGGGGTCTTCTGCCTCCCATTCCGCCATGGGAGCTCAGCGGAGAAGTCAAGTCAGATTTATTTTTAAAGCAGTCACAGTCAGTCAAGACTGGTACATATTTTAAATAAAAGGGTTTTTTTAATATGTGTACAGTAAATATATGTTTAAATACCAGTATCTCATTTAAGCTCATCCGAGCATGGCGCGGATGAGACAACGGGAGGGGATTTTCCTCCTCCTCCGTCTTTTCATATGAGCTCTGCTGAGTAGAAGTCATGTCAAATTTATTTAGAAAGTACATTTAAAAACAGCAGCTGTTACCAAACATGTTTAACAATAAAAATCAATGGTACTAATTTAATGACTATTTACCATATTTTACGAGTACTTTCTATGTGACCCCCGGTCCCATGACTTCACTAAGACTTCTGGGCAAAATTTACCGGTATATAATTTATAAATAATTTTGGTTACATAGGTGTTTGGCAATGTTCCATTCAGTGATTATGTTTAGATACAGTAGTTCTTGTGTTCATTCTGCAGGTTGAATGGTGTTTTAACCATGAGTCACACAGCGAAGCATCATGAAGACTTATGACGATCATGTAGTCTGAACGTGTGCTGAAAACAAGCTATAGTCTGTGAAATGCCACCCGGTGGCTGATTATTGTACTACAACAAGAAAGCTGTACATTGTCAGAGCTGGCTGGCACAGATCTTGACGATGAACGGTAGATGCCCGCGGCTAAATTACCGGAGTATCTTTTTAATGTACACAATTATGAGTTAGCTTATATTTAGCATGTGCGTCTTAGAGCCAGGTGTGTTTCATAGCTCGAGATTTTTTTAACCATCCATGTTACAGGCACAGTTCTGGGGAAAAAAAAAAAAAAAAAATGACTGTACGTATTTCTCAATCAACCTTTATTTAGACAGGTAAATCCCATTGAGCCTCGAGGACTCATTTACAAGAGAGACCTGAAAATTTGTGCATGTTGCCGGTACATATTTAATTAAAAGTTTTTAAAAAATCTATCTGTGTAAATATTTCATGTTACAATGTGGACGACTGTGGCTTATAAAGTGCAGCCTATATATATGTACACATTTTATTTTATTTGTTCATTTAGTGGGCGCGGCTTATATTCAGGTGAGCTCAGTAGTCTGGAAATTACGGTAAAACAGCTAGCATGCTTTGGCAGTAAGACTTTCATTAACTTGAGGAGCCCTTCTTGTAAATGGCTTACAACAGCTGAAAGTGTTTTTCATCATAAAATACTTTCAATGTATGTTTTATTGGTCTGCGGTAATGATACAACACGGTTAAAAAAAGTTTAAAAACAACATTTTTCGAGTTGAATCTCCATTTTCGGAATCAGTCTGAAAAGACACAAGAGATCAATCTGATAACTGTTAAAACAATCCAAGTCTGGCTCATACTCTGTGTGTGAGTGTGACCATCAGTCAAAAGTACAGATACAGCCAACTTTATTACCATCATAATCTCCACAACTGTTGCTGTAAAAGACAAAAACAAGGTCCCAGAGGCAAAGTCCAACTGCCTCTACTCATCTAGTCATCTGTCTCCCTTTATCTCTCCATTTCCCTGTCGTTTCATCCATCAGACTATCATCATTTCACTGCTGCTTCCATCTCATCCATCACTTAGTTCCTCAATCACTTATCCCCTCTGCACCCACCTTCTTCCCTTGTGATACAATCAGGATTTCTTGCCTCCGTTTGTCTTTTTCTTTTCCAAACACAGTTTTCACCATCATCTAGTTGAATTTCTTTGTCATTATGTGCTGTTGTGTCTTTCATCCCTGTTTCAATGTCACTCAGCTGGCACTCAGCCCACACTGCTATTGCTGGAGGGTGTGCTATACATGCACATATTGTGTCTCTGTTGCTAGGTCCATCATTTTTATTAGACTAGGATCCTGGCTGGAGGCAGGTTTAAAGACACTACATGTATTGAAGGGGGAGATGGCGAGGGGAAATGAGAAGGCTCATTTTAAGAGGAGAATAAAAAGATTTTAAGACTTCATGGAAATGATTAATTGCATCATAAGCACATTACGCATCATACATGTTATTCTTACAGTGCATACATTTGGTGTACTAAATGCATGCCGATTACTCTACTTTATTTTAATTTGAAGTTAAATCAGCTTCTTGTTATTTTCCATGACTAGACAAAAAATGAAACAGGTTTTAAAACAGAGAATTTTACAGGGATACCAGGATGTGTTTGAAGTCTATAGAAAGTACTATATGTTTAATGGGGAAAATGAAAAATTATTGAACCAAATTAATATTCTATACTTTGTAGAGCTTTCTTTTGCAAACATTTACAGCTGCAAGTCTCCACAAACCTGGCATGTGTCCACAAAATGAGGATTTCTGTTCACTTTTCTACATAAGCTTTTTCAACTTCTTCAAGCTGGAAGAGTTCCAACAGTGTAGGACAAATTGTAAGGCATATACCAGATCTTCACTCTGACTCAGGTCTGGACCTGGTGGTTTGACGACTCCGTTTGTGCACACTTTTACCACTGCTAGTAAGTTCTTATTTAAACAAAGTGCAGGAAAAGGTAAATTAAAATAAACAGAAAAAAGACTAAAAATCAAACACTGACAGCGACAGCATTGCTGATGATTTGGTCCCAACCTCAGAATCGATTTCTCCATGTCACCATCTGGTAATGTTAATGTGGAACGTCAATTTTCAAATTTTCGTGTATGGATAATGTCTTGTGTATTTTAATGTATTATGACTATTGTATCGGAATAAAAAAATAAAAGGTGAAAAAATGAGCACAAAATAAGAAAACAGAAGAAGGGGGACGAGAAGGAAAAGTGCAATAAGTTAAGTGATTGTAATGTTCTGCTAGTAGCAAGCCGTGCCAACATCAAACTCCCTGTCCATAACCTCAGCCTGCAGCCTTGGCAGCAGCTCCCCTCGGCAGCAGGCCCTTCTGACAACATTGGCCCCTCTTCTTGAAAACAACAGACAGAGGACATGGGGAGCTGGGTGATATAAAACTCTGGGTGTATTTGTGCCATAAATGTAAAGAGCGTAGCAAGAGGGAATAGATACAGATGTGCGTGTTGGAGTGTTGGAGTGTCTGGTAAGTCTGATATAAAGTTGATAGATAGCTGCTGTAGTAATGACAAGGTGTAATGTGTACGGAGAAAAAAGAGGAGAATGTGTGTGTCTGTGAAATGCAAAATGAGTGGGTGAGGCAGTGGAGAACACAGTGAGTGTGTTTGTGTGCGTGCAGGTCTATAAACCTGATAGAACGATTGCTTGGCAGAGGTACAGGATCTTGTAAAGCAAAGGGGATGAGATTTTAGTTGCTATAGTAATGACAGGGCAGTATTGAGAGTGTGTGTCTGAATGAGTTTGTGCATGTGTGCTTGTCAGACCTGGTGGAAAATGAGAGCCTGGCTGATGTATCCCCAGCTGGACACGGGGCTGAGGTAGTGAATCAGCAGCAGCAGGAGCAGCATGAAGGCTATGCTGGCTGACGCATAAATGGCGTTGATTAGAAACATCATGATGGCACAACCAATGATGCCCAACACACACGTATGCCAGGTGAAGTAACGGAAAGTGGGCCTGCAGAGGAAGAAGTAGAAGTTAATGTGACAGTAAAATTACAGGAAGTTGGAGATGAATGAAAAAAGAACTTTGCGATTAAGATATTTTTTTTTAAAGAAAGAAATGTCAGCTTGTGATATTTCAGGTTTTAGATTTCTACATGGAGACATTTATTACCAAAGGTGAGGTGCAAAAATATAAATAACACAAGAATAATACAAATCCTCCTTTGTGGACTGTTTCATTATGAATATCCCAGAGGATATTTGTGTCTAAATTAGTTTTTGTGTTTATATCTGAAAACAGTTATTATTTGATATCTATTGTGTGCAAAGTCCTGCAGGAGAGAATTTAAAGAACTCCTCACACTTAAGTCACTCATAAAGTTGAACACTCATGCTGCACCTAAAAACCTCCATTTATGTCTTTTTGCCACCATCCCTCACTGTAAAGTAACATTTTTTTCTTGAAACAGTTTTTGCATCATTCAAACAATAAAGAGGTGTGGAGTGCTTAAACCTAAGGAAGCTGGAATAACATATATAAATATATACACATATATGGCGTGTACATATATACATATATACATATATATATATATATATATATATATATATATATACACCTGCAAGTTCATGTAAATCACAAAGACTTACAACTTACTTACACTGAACTAAATTACAAACAGAAAATCTGCCTCATATGAGTCAGGGTTCTGACACCTTTACCAAAGCCAAATTCAAACCCTTTTCAAGAACTTGCAACTTTCTAGCAACTTACCTTATAGCAGTGATGATTTACTATCTTGATGCTGTTTTAAATGCTCTTTAAATAAAGTGGTATGGTACACATACAACAACAGTACATATATGCTCAAAATAATTATTTAACTTCCTCATTCTATAAAAATTAGAGTCCAATTGATATATCAGCAGGACCGATAATTTAGTCCAATATAGACATTTGGGGACCTGTTGGTATCGATGATAATTGTCCCATTATGTGCCAATATAAGCACTTCTAATTTTAACCCCTAAAATGCTGGAACCAGCTGTAATTGTACAATGTAACCAGCATAGGGTGCAAGAAGAGTACTTTCAAGTCATGGCAGTTTAGTTTAGGTTTCACGTTTGACATTAAGTACAGACGAAGAAGACAGCAATACTGTGTAGCGTATTTTGCTGAACAGAGCATGGTAAGTTTATTTTAACTGATCTGTAAATCAAATCAACAATAATAAACTCTATTCAGTCCTCCAACTCACTTGCCATTAGCTACGTGTCTCTCAAGCTAGAAAGCCAACGCTTAGATAACCTAAAAGGCTATTGCCTTGTAAAACTTTATCTAGAACAATAAATATAACATAGTGGTTTAATATATATATCAGTGTTAGTAACATTATCTTTGTCGTCCTCAGTGAAATGCATTGTTTGTCTGAAATCTTTACTTTACTTTACAAAAACATGCATGCTGGGCTTCCTTCAGGCCTAGGCCTTCCTTGCAAAAGAGATGCGTGACCTCAATGGGATTTGCCCGTTTAATTAAAGGTTAATAAAAACTTCTCTGCAAAGAAAAATAAACTCTGTTGTGGTCAGTACTAATTAGACGTTCACCATACATGACTGACCGTTTAAACAATGAACAGGAAAGGACGTTTCTGTCTTTAATTTATATTTTTGTAACACACTTCATAACTTTATTGTGAATAGTGGAGGGTGTGAACGCACGTTATGATCAGTGCACCACTTGTAAACCTTCTGTGGGTCTAAGTATAACGTGGATCTGATTAGCTTAGCTTCACGGTTGCTAACAGCTGTGCTAAACAAACAAGCCCCACTCCACTCGCAGTTTTCTTTGATTCTTAGGGATAAACAAAGCAAAAAAATGTCCAGCCATTAAATCAGTATTGGTGATAGCCTTAATTTCTATATTGGTCAGACTCTAATAAAAATAGATGTTACTGTGCTATAAACAACCTAAAATGTGTAAAACTAGCATTTATAGAGTCCTGTTCACTGCCTTGCATGCCAAAGTTTTAAAGAATGATAATATACAATTCATCAGTGCATTGAATAGAAACAGGTGAGAACTCCTAGTTACTATGGCGGCCATCTTAAACCAAGTTGAATATTAATTGCAGAGCTACAATCATTGGTAACTTTGACAGTTTCATCAAAATGTGTCTTCTGATTTGATATTTTGCTAACAAATACAGAAATACAAACACGTGCACATGTTACAAAGAATATGCTTATTTTACATTCCTTATAATTAGCCTTTAATTGCAGCAGGTGAAACAATATATTGTACATGTTGTACCATATGTTAAATATTTAAAACAATAAAACTTGAAATATGTAATATACATAATAATATAGTATATTTTTAATCTGATCTAGGTTATACAAAATGCTTTAGGATACATTTATCATATACAGGTGCTGGTCATAAAATTAGAATATCATGAAAAAGTTGATTTATTTCAGTAATCCTATTCAAAAAGTGAAACTTGTATATTATATTCTAAGCAAAATATTATTCTGAATAAGAATAATGAGGGCCGCGCTTTTTATAGTTGCAGCTTCGTGCACTCCGCCCATCTTTCGGACGACTGTACGTACATTTTCTCGTTGTATCTTGGTGCAATGATAATAAAGTTTATTCTGATTCTGATATTCATTCATTACACACAGACTGATATATTTCAAATGTTTATTTCTTTTAATGTTGATGATTATAACTGACAACTAATGAAAACCCCAAATTCAGTATCACAGAAAATTAGAATATTACTTAAGACCAATTAAAAAAAGGACTTTTAGAAATGTTGGCCAACTGAAAAGTATGAACATGAAAAGTATGAACATGAAAAGTATGAACATGAAAAGTATAAACATG